GCCTCGCGAGTTGCTATGGAGCGTAGACAATGGGGTGCCCAGGCGAGGCCGTCACGCGCCTCCCGTGCCCCTGGGACGCGGCCCGGACACCCCCGCCGCCCCTCCCTCCTTGCCGCCTCCCCCGGGGCGGGGCGGGCGCCCCGGAGACGCGCGGTGGCCCTGGAACCGAACCTGCCCGGCTCTGGTTACTGCGGCGACCGCGGCCCAGGCCTGCTCTCACCCTGGATGGTCTGGCGGGTACCATCCAGGGAACTTTGGGGACCTCTGGGAAGAAAGCGGCTGGCACGTGGGTGCGGGTGAGCCGAAGGAGGGCCGCCTCCCCCGGGGCGGGGCGGGCGCCCCGGAGACGCGCGGTGGCCCTGGAACCGAACCTGCCCGGCTCTGGTTACTGCGGCGACCGCGGCCCAGGCCTGCTCTCACCCTGGATGGTCTGGCGGGTACCATCCAGGGAACTTTGGGGACCTCTGGGAAGAAAGCGGCTGGCACGTGGGTGCGGGTGAGCCGAAGGAGGGAGGCGTGGGGCCTGGGGTGTCCCTGACAGTGCAGGAGGCGCTGGTCCCCGGTGCTGTGGAAGGCCTGCGTGAAACGGGCTTTGGGAACCGCATCTTCCCCACGTTGTCACTTCAATTGCTTAGACTGCTGCGCTTTAAAGACTGCTGGGTGTGATCTGGCCCTGTAGTGCAGTGGTTAAACCCTGTGCGTGAGAAGTGGGGTCCCACGTGATGGACAGTGCTTCCAATCCCAGCCCTGACGGTCTAAAAGCAGGCGGGCCACGGGAGCCCCAAAATCAATCTCTCTCTCCCTCTCTCTCTCTCTCTCTCTCTCTCTCTCTCTCTCTCTCTGTTTTAAAAAATTGACTGAAGAGGGCCAGTAGATGGTGTGGTGGTTGAAATACTGGACTCCCATGTGGTCGACAAAGGTTTGAGTCCTGGAACTGGTGACTTGAAACTCACCCTGGATGCGTGTTCACGTCTGCCCAAAATTTCAGGAGGAGAATGGAGGAGAAGGGATTGCCACCTGGCCATCCCCCTGGGAGGTGATTTCTCACTTTCCCTCTAACTGCCTCTCTGTCTCCCCAGTGAGCACACATGCCCTTTGACAAAAATCTTAAAAAAAAAAAATTGTCTGAGGAGGCTGTTGAAGAGAGGACAATAAATTAAAATCTATAGTGTGTGCTCAGGAAAAATTACAATGGGAAGTGTCTCAGTACAAAATGTGAAATGTGAAAACTGCAATAATTCTAATTAGAAACAAGTTAACATGTTTAGGAAAGTGATGGGTAACTCAAATTTCCAGTCCAGATCTCCTTCCCTGAGCCTCAGAACCCCAAATACGATTACTTGCTGTATAAGCAGTGGCTATTGTGTACTTAGAACGCAAATGTGCAAGGGGAAACACCTGTCTTTCTTAGCTATGTTGCAAGTGCAGCAGTCTGAGTCTTTGCTATTTTATCTTCTGACCTAAGTCTCATTTCACTAAGAGTCCCTTCATCTACCAACACAAGCCAGAAACCTGGGAGTCCCCCCCCACCCCACCCCCAGCCCATATTCATTCAAGCACTGGGTTCTGCCAATTCTACCTTACAGTATTTATAAAGGGTCACCGGAAAAGTCAGGGCATATTTTTCTAGGAAAAATGCATCATGACTTTTCTGACAACGTGATAGCATCTGGAATCTTCTCTCCACCCCCACTAGCAACTACGGCCTTCTGTGGGCTCCAATCTGGACCGTTGGACAACTTGCTAACTTGTCTCTCTTCCAGTCTCTGCTTCTAGTGGAGTCCTCCTTAAATCCATTTTCCATGCCAAAGGCAAAATCATCTATGTAATACAAATCAGATCAACTTAAGACCTGCAGTGGCTTCACATTAGCCTCCTACGGTGTGGGAACTCTGGAAGGCTGGTCAGGGCCTGCAGGTCTGTGAATGCTTACACAAGTGAGGACACTGGGGGGTGGTTCTGCGAGGAAGCACACCACCTGCCTTGTTACATCTGTTGCCTTTTCCATATGACACGCACAAGGACAAAAATTAAGTAAACCTCTGCCGTGGCCCAAGGAAATCAGGGCTGGGGAGGCGTGGGAGAACAGGTCGCAAAGGGCTTTGTCAGTCCTTGTAATGACTCTGGTTTTCATCCTGAGTAACATGCGAACCACAGAATTAGAACAGAGAAGTATCATGGTTTTACTTTTATCTGGAAAGGCTCACTCAGGGTGCAGTCTAGAGTGGAGATGGGCACCGGCAGAATCAGTCAGGGGCTGATGGTGGCTCAGACCGCGGTGGCCCAGACAGGCGATACAAGTTTGCAAAGGGCTGATTCTGTGTCTATTTTAAGGGTACAGCCAAGAGGAGTTCCTTGGAAGTTGGATGTGGGAATAAACAAAGTAGTTGAGAGTGACTCCATGGTTTTTGACCAGAGCAGCCAGGAGAGTGATGTTGCCATGAAATGAAGATAGGGAAAGCTGTGAGTGGGTCACGTTGAGGGGAAGAATTTTGAAAGTCTGTTACTGGCCACACAAAGGAACAATGGGAATTTGCAGTTGACATGGGAGCCAGAAATTTGGGAAATAAATTGGAGAGCCAGCAAATAAATGGGCTTTTCAGACACTTGCTTATTCTGTTTTCAGCTGTCAGAGAAACCTTTCTACTTTCTTTCTTTTTAAACAATTCTGAGTTTTTTCATTCTTCAAGACTCAGCTTTGGTGTCATCTCCTCCTATATACCTGCCCAGGAATTTTCTTCTCTTGCTACTGTATACTTGGTGTAAACTCATCTCTTAAAAACCACGGTACCGGCCATCCTCGTTAGTATAGTGGTGAGTATCCCCGCCTGTCATGCGGGAGACCGGGGTTTGATTCCCCGACAGGGAGGAGCAGTCTTAGTATGGGGCCAGCAGGTGGTGTGGTGAAGATGCTGGACTCCCACATGGTCAAGCACAGTTCAAGTCCCAGACTTGGCAGATTGCTTTATCACTTTCTCTCTCTCTCTTTCTCTGTGTGTCCTCTATAGAAAATCTGAAAATGAATGAATAAATAAATAAAATGAAATAAATCATTCTTAAAAAAAAAAAAAAAAGATCTATTTTAGGAGCCGGACAATGGGACAGTGGTAAAATGTGAGGCTCTGGGAGGCCGCCCCACGTGCAAAGGGTCTGAGT